ATCTACTCCGCACTCTTCTAACCGGAGAGCGGGTTCGAGAGGGGGATCTACTCTGTTTAGATCTACGATCATTAAAGAGAGGGGATCTACTTCTTCTTGACTTTTCACGCTGTTTGGGAGATAAGCTTCTCCCTTTTGGGCTGCGGCCAGGTCGTCTAGGGGACCTGTTTTCTTTCCCTGAAGAAGCATCTTTAGAAGGAGATTTAATTGGCTTTTTTTCTTTGTCAGTCTCTGATCTCCTAGGTTTTCTATCTTTGGACCGTGATCGTCTATCTTTGGATTTACTTCTTAGTTCTGCTGGAGATTTAGATTTTCTACGATCTCTGCTTTTGCTTTCATTTACAACTGGAGACTTTCTGCGGTCTCTTGATTTACTTTTATCATCAGACTTATTTCTATCCTCTGGAGGAGACTTAGACTTTCTGTTTTTCTCCTGAGATCTCCTCTTAAGTATTGGAGACCTAGATTTCCTTGTCTGATCTTGAGACTTACTTCTCTTATAAGGACTTTTGGATTTCCTCCTTTCTTTTGACTTGCTTCTAGTAGTCTTTTCTTTGACTCCATCAACTCCTGCCTTGGCTTTCTTTTTGTCAGATCTGTGCCTAGTCCTTTCTTTTGATTCACTCTTACTTGCTTTCTTCGAACTAGTTTTATTGTCCACAGGTTCTAATTTCCCCTTAGCACTTGACTTTGTTGTAGGTCTTGTTCCATTTCGTGCTTTTTCATTAATCTCACCCTCTTCTTCAGATCCCGACTCATAACCTTGTAATATTAATCCCATCCCAGACTGGACTTTTCCTTCCATTAATTCGTTTTCAAGTTCAGCTTTCAGCAATGCTCTTTGTTTCTCTAAGTCTTCCAGAGGAGCCAAAAAATCAATTTTAGTTCTTTTAGCTGGTCCATCTTCTTTGTCAGAGGCATCAGCCACCTCTTTCCATTTATGTTTCTTATGTTTGTGTCTGTGTTTATGTTTTTTGTCCTTGTCATCTTCTGAAGTATGTTTGTGTTTCTTGTGTTTACTTCGGTGTTTGTGTTTCTTTTTTTTGTGTCTGCTGTGCTTGTTCTGAGGTTGGTCTGCCTCTGACACTTCCCCATTTTCTTCATTCACACTTTTCTCGGATGCCTCAGCATCCTCAACCCTGCAAAAAATAAAGAGATCAGTACTATAAACTCACTGTAATCCTTTATCTCATGTTAAATAGACAGCCTTTTATGATAGAAACTAACTGGCATTTATTCACCTACCTTTGAGAGAATTAAAAATGTACCACCAATTTAAGTAAGTTGTAACAGCAAACACACTTCCTCAGGAACACAGCTACGGCTGCAGAATGAAACAGTATGGAAAGAACAGACAGCAAACGCACTGACAAAACCAAATGTGTGGATGGAATCAATGCTTATGCCTTTACATTCAATTCTGAACTACCTGTTAATAGCATACAACACTGCTGAATATTTATTTGTCAGTACATCCTCACCCATGCCACTTTCTGCTCCACCCCAATGCCTAACCCAAGCTATGCCTTTAACAAGCATTTTCAAATGGAAGAAAACAGTTGTACTCCAAAGATAAAAATTAATTTCAAGGTATGATGCTGATCTTATTTTAAAATCTCATACAGAGCTGACTAACTCTCTTAAGACTTTTTTTTTCTCTAAGTGCACACACCTGTCAGAAAATCAAAAAATGGAAAATAATTTGTATTATTTATGCAATATAGGGAACACTATTGAGGAACAGGATAAATTAAGGAAGTCTAATTTCAGAGCAGATTTCTGATAGTATGCAGCAGATTGGCAGCTTCAAAAATGTGGTAATCTTGACACATGTAAAATGCCATTGACCAAAACAGCTGAAAGTAAGTGTACAGCAGGTTATTAAATTAATAATATATGTTTCTTCTAAAAAGAATATCTTCAATCAACTATAATTTCTCCAAATAGTAACTTCAAAAAACATAAAATTCAGTCCTGACGTTACACATCTCCTAGTATTATCTTCCATAGCCACTGAAAGTGGCTTAGCAATAGGGGTTTTTACAGTGTTTAGCAAATACCTCCCCATCTCCTTCAGAACATCAAGTTACTGTCTTTTAATACCGACATTTGCCTTTTGAAATAATATTACAGGTGCCAGTGCTCAGCTTTCTACAAATCACCCCATCTAAACTACAGCTTTGAAATTTACTAGTTACCGCTTTAGTAACTTAAACATAGCTCTCTGCTGTATACTAAGCCTCATTAGGTGAAAAGAAATCCCCCAAACATGACAGTCAGGAGCAGGGGTTTAATGTACACAGAAATGTGGAAATGACCTTCTGAACTCTACTGGTTTCAGTTGTTTCTGAAGAGCATTATCAATCATCTGATCCAATAAATATATCAGAGACATATATTCTACGCCAGACCTAAAGGACAGCACCTCACTACAAATTTGATTAGTGTCTTCCTAATTAAGGACAGATCTTCAAGCAGTGCACATTTACTCTCTCTTGCTTGAGCTAAGGCAAATTCTTGTACTAGTAAATAAAACTGACTTTTCTGCAAAGTACACTAAAATTATTGGCTAAATTTTTTTATTAAAACTTTAATGCTATGAAATGATCAATGTCCAAAAGGAACAAACTGTTTGACTTAAGATTATAAAATATTCAGAGACTTAACTCAGAATGCTGCTTGTCTTTTACATTTTTATTACTACTTCTGTTTATTCAAGGCATACAGAAAGGTGTTTTTATTAACTGCTACCTCCTTACACTCCATACCATTATGATAAGAATATCAAAACAAAAGAGGAAAAACTGGCTTAAAAAGAGCTTATTTTATCTTGTGCTTGGCATTATAAAAAGTTTAAAAAAGAAGAAGCATTAAATGCAAAACTTCTTCTACTTGGATTTGTCATCCTGAGCAAGTCCATCTGTGACATAAGTGGGGAAATGCGACAAGGAGAATTTTAAGGGAACTATGTGCCCTTCAAAATTTCTTTCAGTTGGATCTAGGATCCTGTGTAAATCCCCAGTTAGCACATTAAGGTACTTCAAAACATTATAGAAATATTACATACAATACAAATCACATCTGTTCAAGCTGTTCTAGGTAAGTCTTCCTTCTCTTAATAGCAGAAAGTGACACCAAAATCTTTAAGTAAGTTATTTTGCTATTGTACGTATTTTGGAGTTATGTAATAACTACATCTTAAATTCTGGAAAAGCCAGCTGGTAGCTAAGGTGCCAGACGAGACACCTCACCACAGCAGCAGCTCAGGCCACTACAGGCTGCCAATACAACTTCCAGCTGTCTTTGTAACTCAACAATAATATTAGGTTCATCAATATGCAAGAAACAGTTCAAGTTTTCTTCATGTACAGGGATACATTTATTTCAAGTAATTTCATTAAACTGTGGATAAACTTTTACTTCCATTAAATACTTCAGAGACGTAATGACATGGATGAAAAAGCCTTTTAAGAATATTTCAGAAGGTGATGAGGCATGTCTACATGTTTAGGTGCTAATGGCTTTAAACAGAGAGAGACTGTGACATGAACCTGTCATAGCCCTACTTTTTCCTATTTTTGAATTCAAGGAGAAGAACTGAAGGAAGTTCATAAGGATGTGCAGTGATTTCACTCATCTTCTTCCTTCATATAGAATTCCTATCATCAGCTTCTACCTTATTACTTAACTTTCTTATCTACAATACTAAACGCTATTCTTCATGTGCATGTGTGTTACACAGCCCACATGTATTCCCACTGCTTTTCCTCACCTGTTTTCTACTCCCAGGATAAACAACAAAATCAAGCCTCAAATCAAAACTCGTTAAGGAGAAATAGACACAGAAAGCAGTTCATATGACTAAAATATTAACGCAGAAAAGAGCAGCGATAGCGCAAGCAAGATCGTTAACTCCCAGAATTTCCAGAAGGTTGTGTTCAGGAGCGCCTGAGTGCGGACAAACCCAAACCCCACGGCACTAACCGGGGTGCCTGGAAAACGCACGCCCGGGAGCCCCGTTCCAGCAGGGAGGCGGCAGCTCGATCTTCGCTTCCCAACGGGAGCCGAGACTTGCCAGTCATTTCGCGGGCTGGAAGGAGGGGCTGGCGGCAACAAATCACTTTCTGCTTCCACCAGCACGGGCACTTTCTATACCGCGAGAGCGGCCAGGGCCCGGGGGAAGGAGGGAGGGAGGAGAGTTCGCGGCAGGGCGGGCAGCGGCTCGGCGGCCCCAGGGCAGCCGCGGGCCCGAGCCGCCCGGCCCCGCTCGCAGAGGGGCCGTGGGGGTGCGTGTACGCTCAGTGGCGTGGGGGATCCCGGGGAGCGCCGGCCCGGACCGGCCTCAGGGATGCCCGAGCCCTGCGCGCCCGGGCGGGCAGCGGCCTGGCAGCCGCGCGGAAGATGCGCGTCCCTCCGCCCCGCGTCCCTCCGCCCCGCGTCCCCGCGGCGGCGGCAGTCCCGGCTCCCCGCGGCACCGGCGGGGCGGGAAGGCGCGCGCGGGACTCCCGGGGACACGCGCCCGCCGCCGCTTCCCTTCCCCCTCCCCCCGCGCGGCCCTCCCGAATCCACGGGCGGATCCAGCGCCCCGGGCCCCGCCGGGCGGCCTCGCCGCGGGGCCAGCGGCGCCTACGGCAGCCCCGCTCCCCCGGAGCGGCCGCCTTCCCCCATCCTCCTCTCCATAGCCCCTTCCTCCTCCTCCCTCACCACTTCCACCCGGACCGCTTCGTGTCGTCCCCGTCCCGCGTGTGTGTGCTTCCCCTCCCCAATCCCCCCGCCCCCGCTTCTCCCTCCACCTCCCTTCTCCCCAAAGCTCCAGAGCGAGCAGCCTCCCCCGCTCCAGCCGGTCCTTACTCGGGCGCTCGCTGCTCGGGCTCGGCCGCGGCGGCCATTTTGAACTTCCGAACTCCTTCGCTGCCGCCGCCGCTGGGAGGGGGCGGGGGGGAGAGCGGGGCCGGAAGTGAACCCCGCGCGCGGGGCCGGGAGCGCGCGGAGGCCCCGCCCCCCCGCCTGTGGGGGCGGCGGGAGCGGGCCCGGGCGGGAATCGCGGGCTTGGAGCAGGGACTGGGAGGGAGCGCTTCGCCGCGGGGGCCCGGAGACACAGGAACGCGTTTCCCAGAGAAACTGTGGGTGCCCCATCCTTGGGAGCGTTCTAGTCTAGTTTCTCCGGAGCGCTGAGCAGCCTGGTGCGGCGGAGGGCTATCCCAGCGCATGGCAGGGGGCTGGAGCTGGGTCCCTTCCAACCCAAGCAATTCTGTAATTTCTTGTTGAAAGACATCGGTCCGCTTAATTTGCCTTTCCAGCTGTGCCGGGCTGCAGGGAAGGGGTCATGGGTTCGGGGCTGGGGCTGGGTGCGCTCTGCTGCCTCCCGGACTGCAGGGTGCGGGTTTCTCACCAGCGTTCTCGCCTTTTAAAATGAGTATTAGATTTAAAATCACTGCTGCCTATCCGCTAGCAGGAGCTGTTATAAACTTAGCGCAGAAATGCCACACCGTTGCTAACCTGTATTTCGTTTTTAATTTCAACAGGTGTTTCTAGCAGTCATTTATGGCATTTTTCTCGTGCAGAACTCTCACTTATTTGAGATAGTCATAAAATCTGCAGACATCCCTAGGGCTACAATCCGAATCTGGGTGTCGTTGCTCCCCAGACTTTGGATAAGACACTCGAAACCATGAAGTGGATTTTAACTCTTGTTTATTGTCTTTTTACAGATTCGCAGCCTATTCTGAGTTGGAAGGGACCCACAAGGATCATCGACTCCAGCTCTTAAGTAAATGTCCCATATGGGGATGCACCCACCACCTTGGTGTTACCAGCTTCATGTTCTAACCAACTGTAACTCCGGAAAATTAACAAATCTAACTACACTTATCGGTGCGTTCTGTCGATGAAACCACACATCACCACGAAGACATCGCAACATCCCTGCTGTATGCTGCTCTGCTTGAGCATTTTGAAGCCATATTTCCTGGTCTGGTGGAAATATTTCTAGTGGAGATATTTAAGTGCAAGCTCTGCCATTTCACAAGCAGGATCAAAAGTAAGATCAGGAGACACCTGGCTCAAACCTGTGAAACTAATATGGCATGTCAAATTTCAGGCTGCCCTAAAATGGACCAAGGTAAAAATTAGTTATATAGCATTGGAGATGAAAAGAATGAGAACAAAGAAAATCTTGCAAAAAATTACTCTCTTGTTACCTGTGTATCAGATACCTTAAAATAAAAGTCCTTGCTCTTGTCACATGAGCTCAAGCATAATCCTCATGCATCTCACTCCTGTGAAATGAACACCTGGTTTGGAGAAGTAGCAGCTTATTTTCAACTTGAGGAACCTTGCAGTGCTGACTTCTCTTTCCTTGGAAGAGAAGGGACAGATAAACCCAGTCTATGCCTCTCAACATCTGTCATATTTCCAGTATTAGAACCCAGACATTTGCTGGGGAAATTAAAAGCCCCTAAGGCTCAATCAAGGCGTAAACATCATAGAAAAATCAGTTGAAAACTGGATCTAAAGGCTCAACTCACCTTATAGAAGATGCTTATGCTTCAGAAGCTGGGTTCTGAGAAAAAGCATCATTTCTTCATGTGTGGAATGTAGCACTAGAGCCACAAGATGCTGAGGAAACCCATATAACAAATCATGTGGATCATGGCTTTAAATGTGCTTATTGTCACATAACTGAGTAGATCTTAATGGAAAATGATTGAAAATCACACATGTGGCCTACCAGTGCTCCATCTGTGAAAGTGCTTTTATATCACTTTATAAAGTGCCTGGAAAGTGCACAGAAACAGCCATGAGAGGAAATGTCATCTCAGTGCGCATCATCTGAAACTGAGCCGATAAGCAGTCTTCATATAGCCTGCTTGGCATTTGCAGGATATGGTTATGTGCCCACACAGTGATTTACCAGTAAGTCAGGTTTTATTTTTTGCTCTCATCCAGTTGCTTCCTCAGCTTAAACTTATTGCTGCAAAAAACTTTGTTTGGTCAATGCAAAATGTATGGAAGCCTTTCAGTATGAACTGTAAATGCTATCATCAGAAGCTACTGTAAAGCATCTTTATGTTGGTTTGAGCAAAGAAAACATGAGAACTGTAAAATTTCTAAAAATGTGTTGTAAATATTCACATTTTGATGATGTTCATTCTGCAAAATCCTGTCTCACTTTGTATTTTGGATTATTAATATTTCTGTGAGTACTTGACCATCATATTCCAGCAATTTCAATATTAGTAGCTTTTTAATGATTCTTAACATTACTGTGAAGGTACTTCTATCTAGATGAATGCTTTTTAGCTCTATATTTCGTGACATTTCTAATAGCTAAATATTATCTCCATTTATAAATGAAACAAAAGACCTTGACTAGCATAATCTGTCTCCTAAATCACAAAATGACATTTTTCAGTGTTCTAGTTCTGTACCCCTTTGCACTAACTACAAATGTCACTTTTGGACCAATTACACTTTTTTTCCCTCATTGTTTAAACAATGTTTCTGTTGGTAATTTCAAGTGCTTTACCCTATGTAAAACTATGCATTTAGTGCTCACCTTCATGTCTGTAGGTTAAAATCTTGAATGACAGTGCACAAAGATAGTGTGAGCATTTTACTGTTTAACCATTCAGTATTGCAGGTGGTTGCAGTGATTAATTGATTTTAGCAAGATCTCCCTGGCTGCTGCTGGCGTATAAATCAAATTCTTGCTTTGTAGGTTGAACTACTGCTTTGGTTCTGATTGCTCAGTATGGCCAAATGAAAGAAGAGGTGATTGTGAAATAAGGTGATGTCTCATGGGTGTGCCCTGGAGTTCGTGGCAGTGGTCAGGTAAGGAAACGGGCAAGGTTAGGAACGTGAAGGAATGTGGAATGCCATGGCATCCTGCGGTTGTAGCCAGGCATCTGTGTCATGATTCAGGGTTTAGATTAGATTATGAAGGGTTTTGATGGAAAGGTTTAGATTGAATTAGGTGTTAGGCTGTCTAGTTTTGATGCCTTTGATGTCTTTGGGATACATGGGCTTGTTCAGAGGTTTTTACTGCTTGATAGAGCAGGAGATAGAATTTTTTAAAAGGTTATAGCAGAATTTCTGGAGGAAAAGTAATTGAAAAAATGACAATTTTTAGACTAAAAGCAAAACAGTTTTTTAAATTTGCTTCACAATGACTTAGTGTCCCCTTGATTGTGACTGTAAGCCAAGAATAAGGCTGCAGTCCAATATAACTTTTTCTCTAAGGGGATAGGAAGGAAAGCACAATTAACAAATTATAAATTTTCTCTTGAATAAGTATTTTCATTCCTTTTGGGTGGGAGGCGTGGGCATCAAAAATCCATCTTCCTTACAACTGTAGTGAGAAAACCTGGAACTGGGTTTCCTGAGATGCTCTTTTGACAATTTCCATTATGTCTGGGGGCGATGAATTTTGAAGATTATAACTTACTATTCATTGTTATGTTAACATGCAGAAAGTTTACTTAATTTTAGATTCCTAGTGAAAATTTTAATATGTTAAATACTTCACAATATTTTAAGCTCTTGGTAGTATTGTGGAATTGTAAAAATTTTATATTTTTTTCTGAATATTGCTTACATTTTTGTGATAAATGTAAGCAAAGGAAACATTTCTAAATATTTATTTAACACTGCACTAATTTCTATGTGTTTTTGAGGTGCAGAAGAAACAATAAAGAAACGAAGAAATTTCAACTTGCTAATGTTATTCAGCTGTTTCATTCCATTAAAGGAAGTTTTACTTTAAAATTATAAGGAACTGTTGTCTGCTGATTCCTTGTGCTTGTGGAGCTGATACAATGAGAGCCTTCCTGCTGGCTATGGGGATAGTTTTTGAAATAGTTTTAAACACAGTTTCTTAGCACTAACCTTGTGTTTAACTTAGTATCAAGATCTCACTATAATTGTTAATGTTATTTGGTACAATGTGCTTGTTGTAGCTTTTAACCTATGTGAAAGTCTAACTGGTTATTGGAAAACAGTGTACAAATTGAATCTTAAATCTTAAAAAATAGTTCAGAAGTTGCTGTGAATTTGAGTTATTTTATATTAAAACCTTTACAAGTAAGGGTTAGTGGTCTCAATTGCATTTCCCTTTAAACAGAAATCCTCTGTGCAAAACCTGCAACCTCCTACCACTACTTTCTCCAGACCAAATTTAGACTGTCAGCAGATGTACTTAGAAGAAAATGGACACGTAAATTGTGTTGTGTCTGCCATTAAAAATAATCCTTTGAAACTTGGATATTCTGAAGTCCCTGTTCCTTCAGTATTTTTCATACGGTCCATAATTCACAACAAAATACCTCCACTGAAAGTGCATAATTTTGGTAACTCATTTTTAATTGTGGTTTGAAATCTTTGAGAATGCCTTGTTATCATTTTTTGATTTGCTTTGGTTTTTGTTGTGTTGTGACATCGTGGGTGCACTAAGCACTCTTAGAGCTGAGCTAACCTTGGATTTTCTGCCAGAGTCCCCATGGTCAAATTATGTCTTCATAATCAATAACTGCTCTTTCTTCTTAAATGCTGAGCATCTTAGCCAAATTTGGCCTCATATTGCCTAAATAACCACAAAATACTTTCAAACTACATAGGAGTTAAGTTTGAACATTTATGTTAATAACTTCAGTGTTGATAAATGTCTTCTATTTTAGATTAACATATTTGCTCTGGTTTTAAGCTACTGTAACAAACCATGGCTTTTAATACAACTAAGGAATGGATCAAGGTCTGCAAGCATCTGTGCAAGCACAGGTACTGTTTCCAACTGTACTGGCTGCAAGATGTGAGCTTTTCTTCCAGTTATTTTTCTTTTTTTTTCTCTTTCAGTGCTAAATATTCGCTTAATACAAGTGTAGGTACAAGTAAATTGGTTTTAATTGATGGAAGAAGGCTTTAAACTCATTAAGATAGGTTAGAAGAGTGGTTTGAAGGGCAGGAAGAAAGGATTAGGGACTTAAGAGTTTGCTTGAAAGCAGTAAACCAGAATCCCCATCTTTCCAAGGCAGTATGTGGGCTGGGATGTGGCAGCTGCATTGAGCTCTTACATAGGTAGAGGAGAAAAGAAGGCAACATCCAGTGCAAGAAATCTGGATGGAAGATGTGATGAAATGCTTGGTTTTTGAATAGTGCTTAGGTTGATTTGCGTTTCTGATGGGCTCATTTTGGCAATTGGTAATTGCTTGGTTGGATAACTAGCTGTTAGTTTAAAAGGAAATTCTGCCTTGCTGAATTAGTAGCAGCAAGTCTGTCTTCTGTCAAATGTTGCTTCATCTCAGTGAAGCTTTATTCCCATCTGCAAGAGGCAGAAATCCTTGCTTCCTACAAGGAAGACTCTATTATCATTTTGTTGTTTGTTGTGTTGCTAAACTGGGGTTGGGGATGCTATACTGCTGAGAATGTCAAAGCTGAAGGATGCTGCATGTCTGAAGCTTTTCTGGCTTTAACTTTGTCAATTGACTGGAGTAACACCAAAGCTGTAATACTTTTCATGATGACCATCTGGGTTCAATATTAAATATTTTGCCCAAGGGTTTAGTCTCTTTCGGATTTCTTTTTGGAAATTTAATGATATCAAATGTGCAAATCAACCAAAATGATTCAGCCAATTTTCTAGAAGGTATATGGGGAAAACTTTCTGTTCATAATGTTTTCCAGTGGAACCTGCAAGACTGTGGATACGTTTTATTTTAAAAGCCCAAATAATCGATGGTTTGAATGAAATATATAAGCATTTTTCAGGAGGTGTCTTCTGTTAGAACAGTTGAAAGGCCACATTCCTGATGGAAAAATCTGTTGAGATTTGGCCTTTTCACTGTCTCTGAAAAATGCAATGAACAATGACAATACCTTACTGCAAGAAGCTATTTGTGACAGACTGTTTTAGGGAGGCAGGGACAGGAACTAGGAAAACTTGCCAGTTTCCTTTGGCACCTGACTTAGAAAAGTTTTTAATTCTTTTGTAGACAGCATATAAAAGATGTTGGATACTGAACACCAGTGGGGCTGGAAAACCTGTGAGCTGTTGCCAGAGATAAAGACAAGATGAGGAGATGAACTTAAAACAGAATTTGGCATGTTAGGACAAGTGATAATGGGTCATGGCAAAGTGGGCAAATAGTAAAACAATGGGGAGTCTCAGAAAGTGAGAATATATTGGGCCACATTTTGGTCTGAAGTGGACAGAAGGATTTAGTCTCAGACCTGTGAAACAGCATTAAATTAACAGAGTGCACAATCACTTCTATTTACTATTGCTGCCATTACTCAAATGACAATTAGTTCAAGCATCAGAGGGTTTTGGTGTGTGTATGTAGATATATATATATATATTCCCCATTGCAAAACCTGGCATTAATGTTTTAACTTCTTAGGTATTTTGATTCCAAAAATGAAACCTAAAACTTGTTGGGTGTTGAAAAGAAAACAAAACCACAAAAAAAAAAAAAAAAAAAAAAAAAAAAANAAAGAGGACTCTCAATACAGGTCAAAAAGCCAAGCACTCATCTGTGTGGGTGGGTACACTTGCAAAATCTTTAATTGCTTTATTTGCCTGTATGCAAATTTCTGCTCCCACTGATTCTTTTGAAATTCAATGTGTAGAATGGGTAGGTCTTCATTAGCCTTGCTTTATTATTTAGAGAGCAGAGTAGATATAAAAAAAAGATTAAGGTTACCAAGCCAACTTTGATTTTGGCAATTTAACTTTCATTTTGTCAATACCTAATTTTTATTTCTTGTCTTAGCAACCTTAATGAGTTGAGGCTTTGTTTGAGTTTTTCAATACAGTTTTTATTTTATGTTGTGGGAAATATGTTGGGAATTTACCTTAATATACTAAAATAAATGACCAGAAATGTTGTCTTCTTTAGCAGTATGTACTGCTGTATGTTCTGAATTACTAGGTTATACATTGCTATACCCCATGAATGTGCCGTACAGTGGCTATATAAAAGTTCACCTATTTCTTCCTTATGTCCTGTGACATACAGACCCTTCAGAGTTACTGGCTTCAGCTCCTTCATAACATCCTTACATGTGTTAGTGGTGTTTTGACCGAACCATGCTGGTGCACACCGAATTGGAGAGTCAGGTAAGTGTTTATTTATGCTTGAATACAGCAAATGAAAAAAATAATAATATTCTCGAATATTTTTTAATCTCTACATGGTCACAAAACAATTTGACCTCCCTTTTCTCTTAGTCACTAGAGATTCCACAATCCAGCAGTATTTGTAATCTGATGCTTGCTGTGTTACCACATTAAAGGCAATTTAATAAATAAGGCTTGGTGACACTGGGTGAGGAAAAAAGTCTTTAAATTTTTCTTTCTGTAAACAGCAGTCTGCTGAAATGCTCACATGATCAGGTTCTGCTTCTTACAAATTATCTTCAGAGTTGTTTTGAGATTCATTTATTTATATAACAATTAACATCAGCTTTTATATCTTGTTTGTAAGCTTTTGGGAGGGTAGTGAAAGGGTAATTTTTGGTATTTTGGTAGTTTGTTGCTAGTACAAAAGCAGTAATATACAAACTATGTCAGCACCAAAAAAATTGAGTCAAATTAAGTTGTTCTATTCCAAATGATACTTGCATGGTTGAAAGTATTTCATTTACTCTGAAACAAATACTGGGTATCTTCTCAATCATGTAGTGGGCTTTTTCTCCCTAATTTTCAAAAGTATGGTAGATATTTAAAAGTGTATGCAGCATTGTATTTCTTAAGGTTATATCTTGGTTTGACATTTCACTGATCTTTGTATTAGTCTTAACAACATAATTGGCATTTAATGTTATTTTAACAATTTTTGGATATTCATAACATAATAAAAATAAATTCCTTGTAGCATGGTAGCTGTATTGTGTAAAAAGGTTGGTTGTTCTTTATCTGTATGTATTATCACTGGAAGTTCTGGAAGTTTACTCGAGGAAACTTAGAAAAGACAGGAATGTTAGAAATGTGCATTGTAGGATAAAACTTTTATATGATAAATACATTGTAATCTGGTAAAACAAAGCGATCAGGTCAAATGAGAAACCTGAAAATCATGTTTCTCCTTTCTGCATTGTCACTTTTAAAAAGAAAGGGATATTTATTGTCCTGGCAAGTGTGTCAAACACAGTAGTAACTTTTCAAATGCTGTCATTTTTATGATTATAATTTGTGCTTACCTAATTATATTTTCTTGAGTTGTGCTGAGCAGCACTTTAGCAATTTTGTAATGCAAGTGTGCATCCAGTAATGATAATCTGTACTTCCAAGATGTATGTGAATGGCAGTTGAACATTTCTGTAAATCACTTGCCTATTCATTGTATTTGCAGTATACACAAAAATAAAACAGAGCAGTCCTTTCCTCAAAATTACTTATATTTAACTTACATCTAATTTTACCCTACAGGTTAAAAAAAAACCCAAAGAACACATGAACAAACAAAATCCAACTCAAATAAATGACTTTTCTTGAGAAGCTTTATTTTGTGTGTTTCACAAACATAGCAGAGAATGTGGAGCAAGGTTTATTTTCTCTACAACATTGTCTTTCATCACCTGAAAGTTTCATATCTCAGGTTTTTAAGTCTTTCCATCACTGATGGTATAATAAAGTATTGGTATAATGTATTTTGGGTTTCTTTTTGAATTAGTTTACTTCACTTATTTCTTAAATGGCAATCCAAAGAAGAATTCAAGGAGCATATGGTAAATTACAGAACTGCTACCACTCCTTTTTATTCATTTTGGGATCAGGTATTCAAAATCAGACATCAATTGAGTGGACGTCACAAATCCATCACAAATCCACAAATGAAAGAGATTAAGAGAAGAACAAAGCCTGAAGATAATCCTGTGTGTTTCAACACAAAAAGAACTTGAAAGAAGGAGTCAAGCTAATTTAAATGCAGTATGTACAGTAGGTATGATCTGTATTATAGCAAAACTTGCTGTTTTGTTTCTTAATTGCAGAATATTTGGTAATCTAGCATATCTATTTATTTGCTTATTTATTTGCATATTTTTGCAATAAAGTTACTCTTAGTATGAACAAAAATAAAAATAGCTGCCACCTACTTGGTTTGTGATAGTACCAGTCTTTGGAATAAATTAAGTATATGCTAATCAAAAGGTGCAGCTAAGGTTTTCTGCTGTAGTTTGTTACAGGCAATAACCAAGTACAGCTACTGAAATAGGCTCTTTCAGGAGCCAAGAGAAATGCTGTGATACTTCTCGTAATTCTGCAAGTTAACTAGGTGACAAAACAGCTTCCTTTGGGTCATGGCTGCACTTTTAAGAGGAATATTAACTGAAGCACCAATTTTATCAGTTAGTGGAAAATTCTACTTATCTGCACTTATAAGAGTTAACACCAAGACTCTGTCTTACCTCAAGTGCATCCTTTCTTCCAAAGAGATTTTGAGAAGGCATTTGATATGTTCCTGTTATTCAGAAAAGATCTCTTTTTCCTTGATAAAGAAGATAATAATCTCTAGCAGCCCTCTGTCCATGAGTTGACATTACAAAATATTCTGTTAGCTTTTCTAATATTTAGGTAGATAAGCTTGAGTACATATCTTTCTCTAAGTTTCTTCTAAGTATGTACATTTGGCTTGGGATGTTTTCTCCTTTAGTTGTTGTTTATGGCCATACATGCCTGCTACATTGTCAGAAAACATTTTTACAATAGTTTAACTAGAGAGGTCACTTTCTTACTTTCACAGTTGTGTTATCATAAATTAATTCAAACCATCAAAGCTTTTTCCCCAAAGGCTTCTTTATCCCACTGTTTTCTAGGACTTAAATAATTGTCTCTACTGAATCTGGCTTTCCTCATTTGAAGTTGTTACTGCTCACATGGAAAGAAATAAATATATGTTTTAGTAGCTATCTGAAATTGGTATAATAAAAAGAAAACAAAAATGGAGTTTGGGTTCAGCTAGTCAAAGGCCTAATTGCTTGAAGTGAGCTAGAGCATTTTTGTTAGTAAGTAGGGAGCAGACCAATGTACTGATGATGTGCCTTGCACATAGGCATCTATCTTCTGGGCTTTTTTAAAAGCAAGTAGTCAGTTAACAAAACTTACCTGTGTTTTAAGTGGCAGAAGTATAATGTTAGGCACTTTAAATTGTTACATCATTACAACAGTTAATTGTGGAGTTACAATGGAGTATAACAATCCAAATTTTATCTGAGATTATGTTTGAAATGTGACATCTGCTGTATGCACTACAACTCTGTTTTGAAGGAAAAATGAGCTTTTATGGACTGGGTCTCTGGAGCTCTCCCTGGAAGAGAGAGATTAAGAGCTTGAACTTTTCATACCTACTTCTGACTCAAATTTTGCTTGACTTTTGTACAGCAAAACAAACTTAATGTCAACACAGTTCATTTACTACAGTCCCCCTGAGGTGCAAACTCATAAACTGGCATTGGCCATCGTCCCAGCTTACAACTGTCCCCTAATTCTTTCCACTAAAGGCCCTGTCCCAACAGCAGAACAGGATCTGTTGGGAATCACAGCCAGCTCAGTGGTGTGTCCTGCTGCACAGATGGAATAGCTGATGGCAGAAGGGTGTAAGGATAACCCTGCTGTGCTGACTGTGACTGAGAGCATGGGCTGTGCCCTGCACAGAGCTCCAGAGTGCCAGAACAAGCTGCCCCATTTTCTCTTTGTCCCACAATTGCCTCTCGTTATGCCCAGATTAACAGATGCACATGGGAAGTATATTTTAGAGCCTGTGGATACTGCAAAACTTCAAGGAATTCCTTTAAACTGAGAAATATCTGCTGTCAGGAGGTTACCAGCAAAGTGTTGGTAGCAGGACCTGGAAATCCAGCTGTGTTCCTGGCCGTGCTGTGGCACATTTGTTTGCTTTCCTCCAGGAGAGGGCAGCAGATGAACAACATCAGGGGCTGGTTTTCACTTTTCAAACCCTCTTCCAGTGACCCCCTCTGCCTGTGAATCCAGCAGGAGCTCCATACCAATGGGAGAATTTAAAATTATAATTCCTGCCTGTTTGTTACAAAGATAGCTGGAATGTACGAATCGGAAGTCTTCATTCTGTTCAGTATTAAGCAGTAAAATTTATTCAGTAAAATCTATCTCAAGGTTTTAGAAAGGACAGTTCAATATTGATACTTAAGATTTTGTGACTATGGCAGTAGGTGTGTATATATTTTAAAGGATAAAATAACCAAGCAACCCAACCCATTATTAATGTCACCTAAGTCTTACTTAACATCTTTCATTTTCCATCAGGTTGCATATTACAATTCAAAATAATAGCCTTTTTTCTCCCATCAGAAAATAAAACTAAGAATACACTAAATCTAGTGATGGTTTTCATTCTTGTGTAATTAATGTGCTCATGGATGTTTTTTGCTCATGCATTCTGCTGACAGAGCATGCGAGTTAAAATCCTCAATTCACAGGCAGTGCTAATGATGCTAAACAATATAACCAAATTTTATTGCCCTTTTTCAACCACAAAGTGCAGGTTTATAATTTAAAGCTTTATGGAGGTGTACCATATTACTGATTGGGAGTATAGTGGGGTCTTTTTTAAAACTGTAGGGAAAATACTGATTATTACCCACCATTGTGAATTTCTTGAAAGTGTGTGGCTGTAATTCTGTTTAAGTTACAGATCAAGTAGTTAACAAAAAGCCACAGAGAGCAGTCAAGCCTTTTCAGCTGCTAAGTTTTATCCAGTAGTTTATATAAAGAAAGAAAAACCATAGTGGCTTCTGTGAGTATCAGCAGCTACAATCAGGGTTCAGAAGCTAACTGGGAAGGATGAAACTAATTCCTAACAGGACTAATTCACTGATAAACTTGCCTTGATGCTTCTCATTAAAATTGTGCTGTAATGCATGTGGAACCTTTATGGAGCCTAAAACTTTATCAAGTGACTTGACTTTTTTTTCTTTTGTGGTGATTTTTCCTTTTCAAAGATTACAAGTGTTTAAGAGAAGAGGAGGAAATAATTACAAAGATTTATTCAGAATGGCACAACTTGCCTTTCAGAGTTGCCTTTCATCTTAAATCTCAGTATTTAAATCACAGATTTTTCCATACAGGCCCCATGGTTCTACTGAGTTCACTGATTTAGCACCTTCTATGCATCAAACACTTCAACAACTGCCCTGAGTATTTAAGTTCCCTCATGAAAGTTCAGAGCTTTAATGCTTTGAGCAATGTAAGCTTTATTTTTCTAGTTCAGGAAAGATCCACACAAATAACTGAGGATTAAATTCCCTTTTTTCATCTTTCTTGTTTTGAATACTGTTGCATAAAATAACTCTATGATTCACTCTTGCTTTGTGTAGTAATTAGCAGGAAGATTTTTACCTGTAGAAGTCTTGAGTATAGTATAAATTAATTCCATAGTATTCTAAAATGCTTCATTTTCTGAGTGTCTGGACTTGAATTACCTTCACAAATATGTCATTAAAATAGCTCTGATTTCCTTATAGAGTGTTTAAAGAATGAGTTACCCTGTTTATTGCATCTAATAGATGAATGTATTACATAGTTTTGGGAATAATATTTACTCAGTTATTAATTTTTTACAGTGTGTTTTGAAAGGACATTGTTTCCTTTTGCTGGAAAGGTCAATAATCTGGATAGATGTGTAAGCACTTTTAAAACCTGCTATTGGTTTTCACAGGAAAAGGATTTTTAAACTTCTATGCTTGTATGTCTCTCTTTGAAATGATTGTGTCTTAAAGATGTGACTTTAAAGCATTAAAGATTTGTGCTTGAATTTGTGAACAGCCAGTGCTTCCTCTGTTGTTCCTGAAGTATACTGAGGATGGTGAGGGGGATAATCCAGAAAATCGAGGAATTTGGGATAATAGATCTGTAATCTGCACTGGTCTTTTCAAATGTTTAACCATTTCCTTCCCAAGGAATCTTCTCTTTGTATATTAGCACATACATAATTTTCATATGGAGTTTTTTTCCCCCCTTTTTAAATAAATTTCATTTGCAGGCCTGCAAGACTAACAGGTCATATAACAGAGACAAAAAATTTCTAGAAGGCTTTAATGGACCATTCAAACATCAAAATGGAATAATCTGATATGATCATGTTGCATTATGCAGTGTTGGCTGCTAGGAAATTAATTCAACACACCAAACCATGTCATTTTGGGAATAGAAATAAATAATTGAAATATAATAAACTGAAGTATTTCATTGTATACAGGTCTGATAGAAATATTTGTGCTCTTATCTTTCCCATAGTGTTATGAATCTTTCCTAACTAATAGCTTTAAATACTCATGATAAAACACATTAAAAGCCTAAATCATCACAGTAACTGAGAAATGTAATCCCTTCAGACCACTTACACAGGAAGAATAGGTGATGATTTTCCAGCTGTGACAGGAAGCATTCTTGTAGTTAGCTCTCCAGAAACCCATGGGAATGCATCAAAGCCCTTCATTGCCAGCAGTGGGAGTAGGGAACAAGGTCTCTCTGACCCAGCAGGTGCAAACACAGGTGGATTGCATGGATGTCCTCTTCGTGTTGCCACTTACGTAAATTGCTCAGGAAGGAAAAAAAGTACTGTTGAGTATTGAGTGCTGTGTAGGAGTGACTATTTTGTGACATGAAAAGAATTTCTAGAGAAAAGTGGTATATTTTCCAAACTGGTAGTTTTTTATGTTGAATATGCAAAAACCAAACACTGTGACCCTGATTTAATAAAACAGATGAATTAACTGATGGGTTTTTTTTATGGCAATTAGGTATATTGATCTTTAAGGATATGTTTAATCCTGGCTTAAAATTTGTGTTCAGAAGACACCTATGTAAAGATATAAATACTGCAAAGACAAGGACTGCTTGTGTTTCTATCTTGTTAACTGCAAAGGATGTCTTTGCTAGTTCAGAGGGATGTGGAAACACCTTTTTTTTCTCTTCTGGTACTCCACAGCCAGGTTAGAAATAGGAATGTCTTCTCAAAACTTTTAAAATCAACTTGCACATATAGGCATATTTGAAGATTTTCTATATCATAGAGTTGGGTTTCCACCTTAACTACATTACTTTTCATTTTTTTGAAAGCTCCCTACTTCAGCTTTTTGTTTTGACTTCATTGAACCTCTGTCAAAGGCCCAGTCTCTGTGACTGATGCTCTGGCATTCTTTCTGACTCAACCAAGTGATTTGTTTAAATCACTTTGCATTGCCATGGTTATAGTAAAACCATATTCTGGGGGTAAAAAAAAAAAGGCAGTTACATTAGAAATCCTGAATGACACAGAAGAAAGTACCTTGTAGCACTGTCTGCTTGGAACTGTTGGATCCACTCCATCTTGTTGGTATTTAAAAAGTGAAGCCTTCCTTCTTTCTTCTGAATTGAGCATTTTACAGAATTAGAAAATAAGGTTAAGTGAATGCATAGGATGGAAACAGGCTATGTTGGGTTAAAGCCTTCCTGAAACCTCCTACTTGGGATGTGCAGTGAGTGGGTGGACAGGACAGTGGCAGCCAATTCGATGCTTGTGATAATACTTAAAACAACTTGTGGAGCACTTGTCCTATAGAACCTGCCAGCATAGTGGATAGGGAATATCCACCTTTGTCCTTAGTGGCAAAATTACCTTTCCCTGAATTGAAGAAATGAAATACTCTTGCAGCCACTTGGCAGGAGCAATGCTCCAACACTTGAGTGCCGTGGGTGGTGCTGCATCCCACGGTGTTGGAGCCATGGCATCACACACAGGAGAGCAGGCAGATGCCTGGCAGGAAACCTGGGGTGTGAAGGGGCTGATAGACATCTCTCGCTACTGGGACAGATGGCTCTCAATCTCTGTGGTAGCAAGTGTGCCATGTCTTCAGAGACACACATTTGCTCTATTAAATATTCTTAGCTTATGTAGAAGCCAACTGACAGGTCTTCAAAAGTTACAGGAGGAGGAGAGTGATGGGCAAAACAGCTTCTGCTGGGAGGCTATCTGGGCAGCGTGGCCAGGCACTGTTAATGGTGTTTAGGTGCATAAGTAAACAAGTGTCCAAACCCCTGCAAAATAAATTAAGCTCTTGCAAAAAAAAAATGTAGACAGTCACTGTCTAGAAGGGCAATTAGAAATTTTGAACTGTCTCCTTTGTTATGCTGCTATGTGACCCACAGCAAACACATGTAAACTAGTTTTAGGAAGCTACTTATTACCTGGGAAAATACAATTTGCTACCTTGACAGCTACTCATGAACATGATGTCAGCCTCTTCCTGTTCATTTCCCCATTGGCAGTTGCAGGTACACCTAAAGAATGTTAGCTATGCAGTGGTCATGCAATGCATTAATTCTTGAAAGATAGTGGTAGAATTGGTATGGAGAGTTAGTTGTAATAATGCTAGAGTGAAATGCTGTCTTGAGGAGAATTGTTACTATACCAGGGTTGGTGTTAGGCTTAGATTCTTAAAATATGTTCACTTTTCATTATTTTTTTAACTCAACTGTTTTCATTGATATGTTTTTGGATGTAAAAATGAAAATAGGTTTGCTTATGTGAGGCTTGTCCTCTATTCAACCCTGACCATTTTGTGATTCTGTTTCATTTTTTCAGTCTGTGCTTTCTTCCTGATAAGGTTCATTTCAGGTTTTCCACTGTAAGACTAATATTTCAAAATTTTCATACAATTAGGAAATTAAACATTGTAAATTAGATTGTGTCTGTGGGAATGTAAATGAGAAGGGTGGCCTGTCCTTTGAGAACATACTTCTTGATGTTTTTGTTTTTGAAAGTCATTATTTTCCTTTGTATTTGTGACCTAAATATTCTACTTGATGGCTTTACAGAAAATTCTTTGTGTGTTTTCTTCATTAAGTTAAAACTATTTTACCTTAATGTAATTTCCTACTGCTTTTTGAAAATTTCCTGTTCTGCCATATTTCTGCTTTCTGGAATTTGTTTGGTTTTAGCTGGTGACATAGAATACACTTGAAGTTGTCCCTCTGAACTTTGATTCAGAAAAAATATCAAAACCAAATTTGGAAATGGTTCTGGCCAGTCTGTCTTGGTTAGGCATATGGTTGAAGCCAAATTTAGATGCAGTAAGTTTGCTACTGGCAAAACAGACTGCAACTTTTAAGTGCCCAGAGCAGTGCCTAAGATCATGCTTCATTAGCAACAGGATCATGTGAAAGATGAGCTGTGGCTTGGAGTATGTGCTGTAAATGCTGATCCCCTCATACTCTTCTGAATTTCCCACACACACTTGGTGTTTGCCTGGAAGATAAAAATCCTTCCTATTGCTTTTCATTTCCTGGTAGGTAGGAAAATTTTCAAATGTGAGCACTGCTCTTGTGCACTATGGT